AAAAAAACCCTTCAGCAACACATCATGTGTAGATATATGTTCAAAAACCTTTAAAATCAATTAGGACATGTAAGCTTTAAATTCCTAGTTTATCAAATGTTACTGAAGGGTGTTTACCTTTAAAAATAATTTCCTCTTTTCTTCTCCTCTTCTGTCTTTCTTTATATTTAGAAACCTCGGATTCTTTTTTCTCCCTGGGAAACAACAGCAGCCATAACTTTAGCTAGCAGACATGATGTGTGACAAACTGCACACATTGTGTTTGTGTAGTGTGTTTGCCGAAATTTGCTGATCAATTAGACATTTTGCATTTGAAATTACCTTTCAACTTTAAAAATGTTACTCCCCGTATGCTTGCACTTCTTCTGTAGTGCTATTTAAGTGCTTCTCTGACTATTAGACATAAACTACTGCAAGTATAAAAATACAATTATTTGCTAAGACGTTTACCTTAATAAAGTGGTATTAACAATTATCTCTTAATCAATGTTATGTTTACAGGGTTTTTCTGTTGTATTTTGTTTGTTGGGGGGGGGGGGATATTTGTTGCTTTCAAATTACTCATCACCTGGCTTTGCAATAAATTTGCCACAATGTTAACTTTTAAACTTGGAAATACATTTTTATAATTGAACTTATATTTTCATTTTGTGAGCCACTGTGGTGGTATTTGGATACTGGAACTCATGGCTTCCTGGCTTCTATAGAATCCTACTAGAGCCCTGTGTGGTCAATTAAGCAAATTCACACTTGTGGAAAAGCCTCTGGCTTCTTGTCACAATGTGCAAAGACCAAGTAAAGTCAAGTATAACCAGACAGAGGGGTCTTTAAAAAATATATACAAAATCCGTGTGTCTGCTTAATGTGTGTGAGAGAGAGATGGATGGAGAAGTCTTCCCATCCTTTTGAAAATCCTATAAGAGACCAGCTGAGAAAGAAATCCAAGTCCTCCACCTCCAGCTCAGCTTAAACCGGTTCACACACACACACACACACACACACACACACACCTCCTATATCCAACAACAAACCAACACACACACACCACGCACACACGCACACACACGCACACACACGCACACACACACCATACATATGGATGGCCTCTATGAAAATATCCTACAGTCAATCAGGATCTGCAAATTTCATGAGCTGTAGCGGTCCTTCTCCTGAATATCTTAGCAGGTTGTCAAAACAATCAAAGAGCTCTGAGCTCTGAATCAGAAAATCAGCTATTCCAGACTGAAACCGTCTCGTCTCTTCTATCACCAAGCCAATCTGTTCTTATCTCACACCCTCACAGCTGCTGTCCTTATACTGTAACCTTGCTGTGTGCCCAGTCCGAAAAATCTCATTACACTTGAAATTTGAGGGGAAAATGTAGCACCATAGGATTACCTCTTATCATCTGCTACTTGGAGGGAAATCGAAAAAGAAGGGAAGAGAGAGAGAGAGAGTCTACAGCCATGCTAAGTTTTCTGCAAAACTCAAAACATACCTCTGTGCTGAATGCAAATGTTAGTATTAGTGGGGCTGGAATTAAAAATTACTACTATTATGAATTCAGTAACGCAAAACCGAATGCTGAAAAGCATTTAACTTTTCTTATAACCACATACTACTAAGCGAGACTCACTTTATTCAAGGGGAAACTGCAAAGCTGAAAGATTAAACCAAGGCAGAAGTACTGTGAAAAGCTGCAGTTCCTCTGGGTGCCACTTGAGGCTGCTTCAAAAGTCAGTCAAACCCAGTAGAGCGTCATATTAAAATGCAGTCTATAGTTCAAAAACGGAAGCTCAAAATCCTGTGCGGGATGCTATAATGGCTATGTCTGTTTTTAGATAAAACACGGTGAGGAGGTCCAGCTCCTGGTCATTATTGACCAATTTAAAGAACACAAAGTGACTATCTGGAGAAACCACACCCAGGCCTCAAACCACTGCCTATGCAACAGAGACACAAATTTTGTTATTTAAAAAAAAATAATAATAATAGCAGGTCATCTTGTAGATGCTGAGCAATCATTGAGCATGGGCTTAAAGGAAATGGTAACTATGACAACATGTATGTCCTTCATTGGAGGAAAATATCCAGAAAATTTTATAAAAATAAATAAATAATGAATTCTAATTCTGAGAAGATATCGAGAAACACTGAATGATTTTCCTAAGCTCTTCTGGGCCTGTTCCCAGAAAGACTTAATTTTCTGAATAATTATTTTCAAGGAAAAACAATCTGCAGATAGTAGCAGTGTTGAGTGACCTGGACCTGAAGGCAAGGAGAACTTAGCCTTCGGGGTTTTAAAAAATATTTTATATTTCAGTTTAGTTAGGGTTAGAAAATGACAACAGCTCAGGTTAAAAAAACAACAACAACTTTTTAACATAATTAATCACGTCTTACAGAACCTGTCTGATAGAAAGAATTTAAGGCAAACTTCTCCCATGTGCTGCCTGGAGTGGTGTAGCTCCTCTGTGACCAAATACTCATCTCCTCTTTCACCCCGAAAGAACCCATTAATATTCCAAATTAATGCAAATAACCTTAAATGATGAATAATTGCCCCCATATCAAAATTCAATTACTGTTAAACACTGACGAACTGCTGATTGAAAACTATGAATAATTTCTTTGACAGAGTAAGTCTCACACAAATGTGTCTCTCTTGTTAAGAAGGACGGAGTGGTAAAATGTGATAACGAAGGTGAGATTTCATAATAAAAGCACAGTGAAGGTCTTTCTTTTTAAAATACATTATCTTCAGCTGCTGCAAAAATGAAATGCGTTTGTTCCATTTCATTTGTTCATGCGTTTGAGAAATGCCTGGAAAATATGTGAAGTGTGTGGAAGCTGATTTATACAGAAAGCAGTCTGAAATTACAACTTAAAGGATGTTCATAGAATCAGTGGCATTAATAAGTGTTAACATGATCTTGATTAGAAATGTAAGCTCTTTGTATACTCACTATATAAGGTATACTTGTTCAGCTCCTTGTTAATGCAAATATTAATGACTCAATCATATGAAAGCAACACATTCAGGTATGCAACCATGGTCAAGTTCTAATCAAACAGCAGAATGAGGAAGAATGGTGATTTAAGTGACTCTGAACACAGCATGGCTGATCCACTGGCACAATCTGCAGCAAATGAGTGATGTTATCATGTCAACATGGACCAACATCAGATGGCCACCTCTAAAAATAAAAAGCGTATTAGAGTAAAAGAGTATTAGCAAGATGTGCCAAATAAAGTGTCAGTAATATTCAAGTGCTGTGGATACAAATTAGATGTTATTGCTATGAAATTAAATGAAAAATGCTATAAGGTGTTATAGGTGCATAAAGGCTAAAGTCGGTCGTTTTAACACCTCTGAAATATATCAAAGGGAAATCACAAGAATTCTTTTGCACATGTGAGTGTAACCTTTACCAATATAGTATTTCCACTATTAAGGTTTAGACTAAAAACCATTTACAGTATAATACAAAATACAATAAATGTTTTTTATATACTGAATAGGATTTCTGTTAGTGATTCATCCATCCATCCATCCGCTTCCGCTTATCCTTTTCAGGGTCGCGGGGGGCACTGGAGCCTATCCCAGCTGTCATAGGGCGAGAGGCGGGGTACACCCTGGACAGGTCACCAGTCTGTCGCAAGGCTAACACACAGGGACAAACAACCATTCGCACTCACATTCATTTGCACATTCACACCTAGTGACAATTTTGAGTTATCCATTTAACCTATCCCCACAAGCTGCATGTCTTTGGACGGTGGGAGGAAGCCGGAGTACCCGGAGGGAACCCACGCAGACACGAGGAGAACATGCAAACTCCACACAGAAAGACCCCGGCCTGATGGTGGAATTGAACTCAGGACCTTCTTGCTGTGCGGCAACAGTGCTAACCACCGTGCCACCGTGCTAAAAATGATTTAAGCATTTACCACTGAACTAAACTCAATAGTAAAAAATCTTGTGACAAAATAATACCACAAATGCTAAATACAGTCATATTACCAATACCTGTTAGTTTAATGTTTCAACACAGCTAAAAACTGAGTGCAAAAGATTAATTATAAATTTTTAGTATAAAAAGAAGTTAAACACCGTATTTAGTGTGTTATGCAAAATTCTCATGTTGCAATGAGGTAGAATCAGCTGTTTACACAATGCATAAAACCTGGCTTACTGCAACTGTTAGTGTTTTTATGTCCTTCTGTCTAACAAAAAACTACTAAATAAATAAATCCAATATATGTAAATCTAGATTTCAGCAAATTAATTTAGCTCCATGATTATAAATATTGTATAATTTTGTATTGACGATATAAAGATAAAGATGTCCTTTTCAGATAAATTGTTTTACAAGAGAACATATTTCTGTGATTTTTAAGCTAACATTTACAGAATATTAAGATTGTGATTTATGTTCCTTTAAATATGATAGTCTCATTGTTTTAAAAGGTTTAGTATAACGAGTTACCCAGTATCCTCCTGTTCTCTCCATTAGCATGGATGACACATTAGATAAACAAGGCTGTACTTGAGGACAGAGTGGCTGCTTCATGCCTCTGCACACCTCGCTGGACTGATTTCCTTTCACATACTTTTTGGCACAGTGATCATAAAAATGAAGAAAAGAAAAAAAACACAAGTTTCAGCTTTTAGACTTCCCAACCATTAAATTCATCCAGTTTGCTGCAAACTGGCTGTTCTTTAGCTGCATGGTAAAATGTAGGGCGTTTTGCATGAACTTAAAAGTCAGTATCACTAAATGAATGTTTTTCTCTTTTCCCCACATTTCCAACTCACTCCCCCTCTGGACTGAAATCTGACAACATGGTGGTATTATTCATCTCTCTGTGCGCTGCACTTTCATGGAAACACCCGATGTAAGTGTTCACTCTGTGGGTGTATGTCATGTTTTTGCATCAACAAGAAGAATGTCCTCTGGGGGACATTACTCACCAAGCAGAGTGGCTACAAGGCCAAAGGGTCAATCCACCCCACACATGATGCAACAGCGCCATCTCCAGGCATGGCATCTGCAGAACATCACTATCAGTCCATTCGCGGAATTTAGCAACGGGTATAATAAACAACGTCTCCTTGCCAGTATACTGTTTGTTCTCACCATGCATCTCAAAACGATTGTTTGACTGTTCATAACCAGGACAGCTCGGCAGTTGGTACTGTGGACTAAGTAAGAAGTAAGAAGGTCCTGGTTTGACTCCAGGAGCCAGCTGGGGCCTTCCTGTGTAGAGTTTGCATGTTCACCCTCTTCCCTGCATGCTTTCTCGAGCTTCCTCTTACAGTCCAAAGACGTGCACATAGGTGTTAATGGGACTGTGAATGGCTGTCTCCCTATGTCGGGGATAAGTTCACCTGGAGTTGGGTAAGTGGAAAAAGTAGATGGATGTTCATGTCCACTTGGTAGAGCCAAAGCAATATTTTTTTAGAGTGAATATGTAGACTGGTTAGTATCTGTATATATTTGTGGGTGGTTACATGATACAGATCATACTTTATTGGTCACTCCATCTTTGAAGTATTTCAAATTAGTGTATTAGTGTTACATGATATTATAATAAAAGTCTGTTTTTATTGCAGCCTTTTAATCAATAAATGTATAGTACAGATATAGATTCTGAATTTTGACAGTGTGTATAAAAGTGACACTTATCTTCAGATGTTTTACAGTAACCATCATACAACAATACATCAATGTGTTGCTTTTTTCTAATTAAAAAAATAGTAATTAATCTTTGTTATAAAAGGTGGTGGCCACGGCTTTTGCAGTTTGAAGCCAGAAATGAGGAGACACTTAAACAGAGAGAAGACATTTAAACAGGTGAATTTAGACATTACTAAATTCACCTGTGACACTAAGCGAACTTTACTAGGACACAACTAGAAAACACTCAACACTAAACTCAAAACACCAGAGTCTTCGGCTTTTCCCAAGGGAACTCCTTCCTGCCAAAATGACCGTAGCAGGCAGTGGCCTGGTAAATTGGCTTCTTCAGTCCCAGCTCTCTGTAAAAGTGAAGTGCTACACTGTTAATAAAAGAATCTCTTATCTTTATCAGATGGAACTAGGACAAACTGCACATACTTCACAATCACTCCAGGCCTCAGATCAAAGTTCTTCTGTACGATCTGCAGCAGCTCGTCTTCGTCTCTGTTAGATGTGCCGTAGTGAAACACTGAGATGGAGAGTGGATGGCTCACACCAATAGCATAGGAGATCTTAAGAGCATGGCAGAGTGGACACCAATCATCACACGTTAGACACAAAAACAGTGATGCGAATAAAGAGTGAAATACTTTCTTTACACGTTGATCCCCTTAATGCCATTCGATTGTCACCTGAACGAGAGCTCGCCTGCACAGTCCAGCCTTGACAAGTGACTTGGCTACCCAACGTGCTGCATAAGCTCCAGACCGATCTACTTTGGAATAGTCCTTTCCAGAGAAAGCCCCTCCTCCGTGCCCACCCCATCCTCCGTAGGTATCCACTATGATTTTACGTCCTGTGAGTCCCGCATCTCCCTGTTGATGTATACAAAACGTCAAAGGCATATCATTCATGCCCTCACATCGGATGAAAATCACAATTTACTGCAGGCTTTAGTCATTCCTAACCTGTGGACCCCCAAAAAGGAATTTCCCACTCGGCAGCAGATGGTAGATGGTGTTATCATCCAGGTACTTGGCAGGAATGACAGCCTTCACCACCTTCTCCATTAGGTTGCATCTGATCTCCTCCAAGGTGATGTCAGGACTGTGCTGTACTGAGATCACCACAGTGTGGACACGCAGGGGCTCCATGGCTCCCATGTTGTCTCGATACTCCACGGTGACCTACAGAAGAGAAACCAAAAAGCAGAGAGGGTATAGTTTCATCCATAATATTAAAGGAAAAACACAAAAAAGATGAAGTGTGCAAGATTTTCCTTGTGAAAAAGCTTACCTGTGATTTGGAGTCTGGCTGTATCCAAGGACACTCTCCATTCCGCGACAGCTCCTTCATCCTGTAGTTTAGTTTATGAGCCAGAAGCAGGGTCAACGGCATGCACTCCTCAGTCTCATCCGTGGCATAGCCAAACATCAAGCCCTTAAGGGTGAAAGGCCAGTTACATAAAAGTTTGTATTTAAATCTTTAATTGCAAATATTTACAAATTATGTCTCTGAAAAATATGAAGTGTTTTGCAAATAAGTTGTTGCTTGGTTTGCCACTTGAATATCTCAACAAATAAGCTTACACAGTCATTCCAAGTAAATGAAACCCTGTAGTGAAGGTAATGCCTTGACCCCCTTTTCCATATTTTTTATTTAGTGCTAAAAATCAAGTTTTTCAAACAGTCCTTCGGTGAATACACCATTTAAAAATTCTAAAGGGAGGCGAGGGAGTAGCGCCAATCATCAGTTTATTCACGATTTCTGAAAAACTGGAAATTCCTTGTGGTTACATGATATACACACACACACGTTAATCTCTTATGAATATTATAGCAAAAAATGTAAATAATAATTTACTTGGGAAGAAATAGTTCTACTTCATTAAAGAGATCAGAGACAGTAAGAGTTACACAAAAATATGTATGAAAGTTGTGACGTCGTTTCTTATGGGTAGTTTTCAGTATTTGAATGTCAAAAGAGTTACAATCAGAATTATGACTTTTTTCAATATTTTCATCTTTAAATTGTTGATTTATGAATTTCCTATGCCTTTGCTGCTGAACCAAAAACATAAAAAAAAGGATTAATGTGTTTATTATTGGCCTCCTAATCCTAGCCCCAACTCCAAAATACTTATTCAAACATGGTGGCTGAAAATCAAATACTGAACCTGGTCCCCTGCACCGATATCCTCCTGATCCCTGCCTTCGAACACACAGTCTGAGATCTCCGCACACTGCGGCTCCAGAGCCACTAGTACATTGCAGGTCTTGTAGTCAAAGCCTGCACATCACAGTTGAAAAAATATCAGCAACACTCTTTGACTGTGATCTTTCTGTAAAATCACGTAATCAAAAGAATACCAATTTCATCCATAGTTTACCTTTTGAGGAGTCATCATAGCCAATCTTCTTAACGGTGTTTCGCACGACTGTCTGGAGGTCTACCGTGGCTTTGGATGTTACTTCTCCAACTAGTAAAATCATGCCAGTCTTTGCCACACATTCTGTAAAAATTGAAACGAATACTGTGAGCGAGTCTCTGGAAGAGAGGAAGAAGATGGTTTGTTATCTGAAACTGCATTTATTTCGTCATCCAAGAGGCACCCAGAAGAAAAATGCTGACCTGAACTTTGATCTAAAAGGCAAACACTGTTTAATTATTAGTTACCAAATTAGCCTACCTTTGCAGCTACATTCAAAACTAATTGAACTTTATTCACTCTAAAGATCTGTTAGTACTATTAGTTCTGACACATCACGATCCATGCTCCAACTGCTTGTCTCTTCGTTCACATAACAATAGCAGATGATTTGGAATTTCTGTGTTGAATTCCTGACGGAAATCTTACTAAATAGTGAAAACGTTATCATGCCAATCTAATAAAACTGGAAACTTACCACAGGCCACTTTAGAGTCAGGGTCTTGACTTAGGTACGCATCGAGCACAGCATCACTAATCTGATCACACATTTTATCTGTGAACACAAAATCAGTATGTAAAAAATTCTAATTGGGCAACAATAAAGTAAAGTGAAATAAAATAAATACATTCTGAAGATTTGTATTCAATTTGAATCCTGATATGTTGTAGAAGGATAATAATATATAAACTATGATAACAATGTTTATTTTTACTAAGCGATGTATTAAAGAAGTGTGGGTCAAAATTCCTCCACAATGATGAAAAATTAAGTCATAGATTATTTCAAGTCACTGCTAATAAAGGCGATTCTACAAGCTGCTTAGTTTGCATCATAATTGTATACTTAATCATACCAAGAAAACCACTTAACATATTTTCTAAAATGCTGAACTTTTCCAATAAATAATTTTTTTTCTCCTCCCACCTTTTGAGATTATCATGCTTTCTTTTCTTTTTTTTTCCAAAGATGTTTAGAGTATGTTTAGTATTGAAGCTTCAATCTTGTTTAAATATTAAAACTATTCTAAATAACTTTTTATGTCACATTTTTGGCAATTTGCATATTTAATTTCAATTTTGGTTTAAATTATATTTCATATTATGTTAGTTATAAAAAAACATCTTAATTATTTAAGGTTCTCATTTTATTTATATTTTTAAAAAATTGAATTTAGGATATAAAATTTAATTATTCTGCCGCAAAAATAAATTTTTGAATATTTTAACATTCATATTCTCATTTAACGGAAATAACTGAAGTGTTAATTGATCATCATTATTTGCCCCCAATATCAGTTTTGAGTAAAATTCTCTTCCATACACTTGTGTAGTTTGCTAACATCACGGCTGTGGTGAGTTACAAGGACAGACAATGTATGTGTGCATGTCCAGACATGTCCAAGTGTCTCTGATACATCCATGTGTGAATGTCTAGCTGGGCATTGTTCGTTACACTGTGAGACATGAGTACAGCACATTAGCCTACCGGAGTGTCCTTCTCCAACAGACTCCGACGTGAACAGGAAAGTCTTCCCGCTGCGGGTTCCGCTACCTTGGTTCATCTTCTGCTCGTCGACAGTCGCTGCAGAAAAGTTGAATTCAGCGGGTCAAAATGAAGCAAAGGGCAATCGTACCGATGTAGGTTTGCTTTATAAAGTGAAAGCTGCCTGTGATGTTCGCCGGCGCCGATTATATAAAGCAATGATTAACTCTGAAGGTTGAAGATAACTGTGATTTAGAAACTCCAGAAAGCAACTGATGAAACCCTTCATCAGTAGTCGTGCAGGAAAACATGATACATCAGCACACCGTAGAAGTAATTTCCGTTTCAGGATCTGGCAACAGCTGTAATGGCTGAAGAAGGAATGTTTGCAAGCTCGGGCAGCCGCAAGATGGCACTGTTGGGACGCATTTTCTTTTTTATATTGAACTTGTCACTCCCACTCCATGTATCTCACAGCTTTGGGCTAACAAATGAAGACTTTTTTAGAAAACACATTCCCAGCTTCTAAAATTATATGGAATATATTTAGACTGAGCCACTTAACAGGGCAGGGGCGGATCTACAGGTGCCCACCAGCTGAACCCACCCCCCACTTACACTTTTATGTCCTTAAAAGTTACTTTTAAAAACTAACTGTTTTAACTTACCTACCTAAAAAAAATCGGGTTTGTTTTCTTAGAAGAGATTATATTAGAATAAATCGTTTTAAAGTGTTTTTGTGGATATTTTGTTGACTCCATTTGCATAAAGGGGATTTTTACTACTTCACTTCATGTGCGACACTGCCTAGACCTCTTTGCCCCAATGTAAAGTTTTCTAGAGCCACGTTTTCTAGATTAATTGTTCATCATGTAATAATAAAACTACAGACAAAACGCTGGTTCTATAAAAGCATGCGCTCCAAAGAGAAATACACAGAGGCAATTTACTCAAATCTCTTACTGTGTGTAACTCAACTAATTATGAATACTTGCTTGCATTGTGATTGTAGCTGGATAAGCCTATTAAGACCATGGATACAACTTTTTTTTAATGCTTCATATTAAAGAAAAGAAACATAATGTTTAGTGATGCAAAGACTTGTAATAAGACTTGTAGTATTCACTCTTTTAGCTCCTCTCCGGTGTTCTCCATCTGTCCACCAGATGCCATCAGACTTTGCTCCTCACCCAGTCACCTGATTCACTTATCTGCACTAACCCATGATCTGTAGCCACACCCATTCACACACCTGCTTCCCTTTACCCCTCAGTTTGCAGTCCTACCCATTACTTCATCTGGCAAGTAACCAACCTGTATCTGTCCACTCCCTTTCAGCCTAAGGCTACCTTTTTTGTACCAGTGACTTCAAGCAAGCCAGCATTGATGCACACTTAAAGATTTGTCTTTATTATTTCCACTTCAGTAATCCACAGCTACTGTTAGTATTTGGCAAGCATTCTCCCTCTCAATGATCAGTTCCCACAACTCACACCCAGATCCTCTTTATTAGAGAAGTACATCCTGAGCTCAGTAAATAGAATTAATGGTTGAATGGCTTCAGTATTTATGTGTTACTAATGCTTTATTTTTCTTTGACTGCTACACAATCTTCAGTTATTCCTTGTCCTTTCAGCAGAAAAATGACACACAAATGAACACACATGCACACAAACACTACTGTGTTGCACTGTGGGGGAAGAAAGCTGAAACAGTAAAAAAAAAAAAACTGTAAATGAAGCACAATTTGGTGTGAAAACAAGACATACAAAACCTACACACATAACATATCCAACCCCCGCAGGCTAACCCACTGTGTTAATCTAACGGTTATATTGTTAAAATAATATTCAACTTGTATCCCATATTGCAGCTTTATTTCTGAATCACCGAAGACGATTTAAAAAGGCAAAGGCCATGCAAAAATGACCAGAAATAGATATGATACATTGATGAGACAGCTTACAGACACTGGTAAATAGTGCGTCTTGTGACCTGTTTTATATAACATATTTTCAAAAGTTTTCCAGTAATTACATAAAAAGGGGCTAACCTGCACTAAACCGACGCTTGAATATGTTAGAATGAAGCATAATTTCACAACAGAACTTTGAAACTGTCATGTGTGGGCTGCTACACTGGTGAAATAACAAACTGCACAACACAGGATGAGGAAATGAAGTGGAGCAACCGAGTGAATACACCCCTTTATTGCCTTGCAAATATCCCTCTGCCGCAAACACAGAGTACTTTGCCCAGACATATCAGCTCAACACTGGCCTGCATTTACCACTCTGACAGCTGATGGTATGTAAACCACACAGAACTAAAACCAGTAGACACTTATTTACCAGCTTAACTTCAATCTTCTTTGTCTGTAATAACTAAACAGGGTGGCTGTTTTTGCTCTTATGTAGTGATCATATAGCGGCCTAGTTCCTCAAAAGCAGGAAATGAAAGTACTGCATGTTCATGTTCGACTAAATTTAGTTCTCTCTGGTGATGGCGACTTGTTCTGGTAAAACAGTGAGACTTTGATTGCGGCAACTGTTAGTTAATAAGTAACTGTGAAGAGGTGCAACCTTCAGGAAACGTTTGTCCAGCTTTTGCTGTATGACCCGAAACACAGATCTCTATGTTTGTTTATTAAATTAGTTGGACTGAACTCGTCTGAAGATTTCCTTTTTTTGTTCGAAGCTGGATTTTGCTGTTTTAACCAGGAAACAGTGTTGCTATGGTAAGTCGATGTTATTTTTAGACTATAACTTCATTTTTGCCTAATATACTGCTCTTCTATTGATGACTGAGGGTGACTTGATGTCAATCTTGACATTATTGAGCAATCCCGTATCAAAATTTTGAAAGTAAAATTTACTTTGTGACAATGGTGCTCATCTGGCAGTGACACAGGCCTTGGTAAACTTACCGACACTTGACAGCACTTTTTCCTGTTAGCACAGTTGCAGGAAGTAAGGTTTGGTTCTTAGAAATAACTTATACAGGGACTGTAGCACCGCCATTTGCCCGGCAGACCTGTAGTAGCATACACATGGTAGTAAATGTTTGGATAAGGGACCAACAGCACTAAAAGTGAATCAATTTCCACCATTTTTCACAGGCTGACCAACATTCTCAGCCAACTCCCGCTGTTCCGGCCTCTAAGCTTGACCAAGTGCAAGGTCAGGTAAATGAGGTTAAAGTTATTCTGACAGACAACATCAACAAAGTGCTGGAGAGAGGCGACAGATTAGATGATCTGATTGGCAAGACGGATGACCTGCAGGCGTCTGTAAGTATCCGATCGTGGGCCTTTTAGGAAGAAGCTTGAAGCCATTTTATCTTTTATCATATATGAAGATATTATGTTTAGCTGTGCTACAAAGCATATTTATGCTTTTTGTTCATAAAGTAAAGCTTTCAGATACTTTGAGTGATTTCATGATTTCTGGGGATAGTATGGTATGTTTGTAACTAGACGGGTTGAGATTTAAAAAGAAAATCCTGCTCCTGATACATATAGTCATAATAAAATGCCTTATTTGACACTAAAGCAGTTTCCTAACCTTTATAGTTTGTTGTCTGATTAGGGAAACGTCCCTAGCAGTTTCCAGTTCCCCTATAAACCTTTGTTTTCTTTTGCTTTCATTTACAGACCAAATTTGTAAAATAACCCACACATTGCTACCTGTTTCAGCTATTCAACTACATTTCTTTTTTACCGCTCACCCACTTTTAAATGTTTTATTGTTACTTTTAGCTAGGATGTTTAAACAGTTATACACTACTGCGGTCACCCCTTTAGTTTAGTATCTATTTCATCTCAATTATTTATATATGTATGGTAACTTGTTCTCACTAGATACTTAATATTTCAGTATTTCATGCACATTTACATCTTTGCAATACATGTAACCATCCTTGGGCAACAAAGACTCAGTTTGCTCTTCTAATATTTTAGGGTTCCTGTTTTAATTATCCATTCATCATTCTTCATCACTTTGTAATCACTCAATCAGAAACCCTCGTGTTCATCTCTAAAGCTTGCAAATGGTTGATGCTTTATAGGGCTTCTGGAGATTGCTTGTCTTTAAACGACGCATGTGCTTCCTCAAATATCAGGGTTTAATTTGGCAGGTTTTTTTTCTTTTCAGGCTGACTCATTCCAGAGAACATCCACAAGGGTGGCCAGAAAATACTGGTGGAAAAATGTTAAAATGATGATCCTAATCGGTGTGATTGTGCTGATCATCATCATCCTCATCATCCTTGCTGCCACAAAAGTTATATAAATTCCACGTTTACCTACTCAAGGCTGAAAGCTACAAACATGGCGCTTACCGGCATTTGAATTACTCTTGCAAGTGATCACTTCAGCTTAAGCAAAGACATGTAAATTTAAAGGGCTAATGATTGTTGATTATGTTATTTTGTGACAACATAATGTGAAAAAGAAATTGAGGGCAGCAGAGATTGAAGTGATATGAAGTTAGCTGAAATACTTTAACACTCCAACAGTCTTACATGTGTGACATAAAACCACTCTATTAATGGAACAGAAATTCAAATGTGTTTATTTTTATTTGTCGCATTTCTTCATGTCCAATACACTGTATATATATTGTATGTTTATGACTGTCAAACTCTGTAATAACATATTTAATATATGATTGATGACTATGATAAAGATAATGAATTGTAATAACACATTTTGTATCTTTGCTACCACATTACTGAATATGTGAGTGATTTGTTCCAACCAATGTTACATTTCAGTCATGGAATATATGAAGCAGTTCACAAGTTAGCATTTGGACATAAGTACAAAAAACGAAGGGATGAGGAAAGCAAACTGATCAAACATTGCAGCAATCCAAATAAATGCATAACAATGAAATACTCAGTAGGTATAGGAGAAAATGTACTGTAGGTCTCGGTGTTCTTCAATTACTGTCTAGTAATTGAAGAAGCTAAGTAATCTTTGCTGGATGCCATCATCTCTCTGGCCAAGGCTCCAACAGCGCACGGTAGACTTTCATCACTCTGAAACCTATGAAAAACAAACAACAATAAATCAGCTATAGACAAACAAAGAGGGTAAGATTGCAAAACAATAGGAATCCCCTGTGTTTATAATGTCCAATGTAATAAAAAAACTATAAGAAAAAAACCAAACTGATTATTTTAACATATTACATAAAAAGTTAGAAAGTTAAGCTAGAGATCTTGAAGTGCATTAAATTGAAGAAGTCAAAGCCAAAATACTAAATGGAAGAAATGTTCAGATTGGTCAAAAATACACATTAAAGAAAGCATTACATGCAAATTTTCTGGAGATGTAGTGACACTTTGATTCTTCTCATTTTACCAAAGGTTATAAGAGGAAAATTTGTTACAGGAAAATTAACAAAAGGAGGAGCCTTTTCCATCGCTGTGAGTAACACAAAACAGAACAATACATGTACACAAATTAAAGCACTTTATCCCCCAGCACAGTAGAGTCCAAATACGAACCAGGTTTTAGCTCATGGACTACTGGCTACAAGAGCTAAATAAAGAAACAAGCATTTTAATTAAGATTAGGGATGCATATATTAACATTAGGAACTGGAAAGTCCAGAGAAAGCTGTATGTATCCTTTAAAAAACAAAGTTATTTTTTCAGATTTATAATTATTACTTGTGGGGGAGTAAGGGCCTGTAAAAAATGACAATTACATATGTATATTTTACGTTTTACATTACAAACAATTGCAAAGAAATTAAAAAATTGAAAGAAAGATGACAAAGCTGGACGTGTCCCATATTGTTTAGTTTAGAAATGCTGATACAGGATGTTGGAAGACCATACCAAATGGCAGCATTCGAGAGCGTATGCTTCTCATACCCGGTCCGCATTGAGCGGGCCCTGAGAGTATCTGGGAGTCAGCTCATGGCCTGCAAGGAAGCTCCGCTGGCAGGTACAAACAAGGTATGTCAGAGTTAGGAGACAACATACTTCCTTCTGTTTCCTTGCACATCCTTAACTTTGGCATCCATTTACTGTAGTAGCAGTACATTACCTGTTAACTTTACAGTTTAAAAAAAAAAGAGAAGATGCAAAAGAGGCAGCAGAAGCCGGCTGTTAAAATAATCGCCACAAGAGCGTAGCCTCTATGTTACCACTACTGTAAAGCACTTCAGGGTGCTGAGAAAAAGAAATTTATGGAGGAAATTATGCATAATGTTACCAAACATCAAAGTAAATATAAAACTACTTTAAGTTTAAAAGCAAAAAAGTATATATGTACTATTACATACCTATTTCAAGAGGAGGGTTTCCCCTATTAATACGGCTTGTAACTGTTCGTGTGACCACCACGTCGTGGCGACTTGCCATAACCACCAGATTGATCTGCACATGTGAACAAAGTGGGAATTTCACACGTTTGTAATGTTTCAAAAGTAGAAAAAAACTGGCCGTAAAACTATACTCACTGTTGTAGTCACCATAGCCATAATAGTTGTTGTAACCAGAGTAATCATAGCCACCATATCCTCCATAGCCTTGATTACTGTAACCATAGTTGCCATAATTTCCATAGCCTTGATTCCAGTAGTTGCCATAACCCTGGTTCCAATTTTGATTTGGGCCTGAAACAAAAAACAGACACCAAGTTGACATAAACTGACCTGTGTTTCAAACTAAAAACGAAACTGTCAAACCTCATCTTCTGTTATTAAATCAGACTGTTAGATTGAGAGCAGACTTAACTGCTAATTTTGTGATTTACATCCCAGAAATGTAAAACAGTTAAGAATTTTGTATGTGTGTGTTTTTAGTTTGTTTGTTTTTTAATTACTGTTTTACCATCACATTTACATAACAAGCCTAGCAGAGGAGAAAGCTTTGTTATCTTTAAGAACAGAAAACACTTTTTTGCACAGTTTGTACAAGTAAGCTTTATAAATATCTTTACCTGCAAGAAGTTATGCAAAACAGTCTACACTCACCACCTCTTCCCCGAGACCTAGATGAATATCCTCCTCTGCCACCCCAATACTGCTGCTGTTGGTACTGCTCCTTAGACATCGCCACTTTTATTTCACACTATAAGAAATTACCAGATTAAGTCAAATTAAGGTCCCATAATTCACCACAAATTCACACAAGTCTTCCATGTTCGTACACATTTTATATGTATATATATACATAAATCCCTCTCTCTCTCCATATATATCTATATACATATATATCTATCTCTATCTATCTATCTATCTATCTATCTATCTATATACATATATATCTATATATGTATACACACACACACACACATTTCAATTTCAGTGTCTGTAGCTTTAAATTAAATTAGGATTGGTTGTGCATCCGCCCCTTTAAAGAAGGGTCTGTGAGTGACAGTTAGAAGCAGCCAATAGGAGCAGCCCAGCTCATTTACACTATACTGCTGTCAAACAGACCAGAATGAGACACACTGTAGCTTCCAACTTTCTCCCTGCACACCACTCTTACTTTAAAATACAGCCAAATTGTCTGCACGATCTTTGTTTTTTCACATATATAAATGCAAAGTTTGTCCAACAAAGTGCTGCAGTTACAAAAATCTAAATTTCATTGGTGGGGAGCAGCCTCTTGGTAAACAGCTCTCCGTTAGTAATGGACCACATTAAAGTCAATGTTTCAAAGTAGTTCTCTTGTCTTACAACAGAATCCAAAAAATATACCCATGAGTGCACAGTTATTGTAAATTTGAATGAGTACAGAGATTAGAAAAGAAGCAAACAGATGTAAATGCTAACAGAAAGCCAGATGAGTTTAAGTGCACTGAAGCATATAAAGTAACACCCACACAGTACTTTTTAAAAGGTTACTAATCTGTCTGTAATAATTCCACAAAGTCACTATCCTCAGCATTTCTTTTTCCCCAGAGCTTTGACTGTGTATACAGTCAAAGCTAACAATTATGTTAGCCACATTATCTACATTTGAAAAGAACAGGGCTGCTTTAGTTGCTGTCACGTCGCTGCTGTGTGGCTCTGGTGTTTAACACCTTAGTTTGATTCATAATTATCATGTTAAAACACCAAAGTCACATAAACGAACCTTTTGATGCAGCAGTAAAGCAAAAGGTTGATCAGCTATAAAATGTATAAGTGGAGTCTGGCTGTTTTGAGACTGAGTGAGAGAAGACATACAGCTTTTCAACATATGCATCGCAGACTTTTTTCTACATATAAAAAGGGGGGAAATTCTGAAAAATAAAAACACATAATATAGGACCTAAAAGAAAAGGACTGTACCTTGCTTAATCCAATATTGTGGTACTTTTTCTCCATAATCTTCTTTACTGGCTCCTCCTCCTTGAATGTGATGAAACAGAAGCCTCTCCTTTTGTTTGTTTTGTTCTCCATGGGAAGCTCAACGGACTCCACCTGTTCACATTAAGACATAATTTAATGGGCAAATAGGAGCCCTGCAGAGCCACACAGAACAAGTGGGAGAAAAGATCAAACAAAATCTAATTTTCATAAGTCACTCACCTCTCCGAAGGCACCAAAATACTCTCTGACTTTCTCTTCAGGAGTGTCAGGAGAGAGGCCACCAACAAAGATCTTCTTTACTGGCTCCTTGCTCTTCATAGCCTTGGCTTTTTTGGGGTCAATCACCTTCCCATTAAGTTTATGTTCTTTCTGTGAGGCAACCTGTAAAGCAATATAGACCATTGACAAAAATGTACATAAGTGAATATTTCATCTTTCATTTTGATTTAGCGGAACGGATGTTTGATTGTTTGGGCATCATTGAGCTCAAACTTTATAGGTTGTATTCATAAACCGCGCAGTAGTATAGTTACATTCATTCTAATTTAAGTCTATATGACAAAAAAAAGGCCAAAAATGAAAATTTTCTGCTAATCATTAAATAAAACTGAAAAAAAAAACACCCACACAGACATGAAACTGCACAATCACAGCAAGTTCATGTCTGTTAGAAAAGCAAATTCACTGGTAATTTTAAAAAAAGCACACACATCCACTTATGTGAACAGGATAATACCTTATCAACACTTTCAGGTTCTTTGAAGAGCACAAACCCAAAACCCCTTGACCGTCCAGTCATGGGGTCCAGCTTTAACGTGCAGTCTACCACTTCCCCAAACTTTGAAAAGTAATCTTTCAGGTCCTTCTTAGTCGTGTCCCAGCTGAGGCCTCCAACAAACATCTTCCTGTTGACAAATCACACAAAAATAAGCAGGTGGTGTCTATGTGTTGAGACTGCTTTATAAGATATCTATGCAAGCTTCTTTAAACAGCTGGGCTGCTCAAAGGTCCCCTCATTTGCTACAAGTAATCTATGCAACTTGCTTAGTAAGTAATTTATCATCAATTTACATCCAGACAATACAATATCAAACACAGCAGATCCTCCATTCATTAGGTGACTAATGAGGACCTGATTTCATCTTTTATGTGCAACCAAAATGTGAACACATATAAGGGTTTTTCCTAGCTCAAAATGGGCCTTCACATATAAACATGCTTTGTCCATATTAAAATAGGGCAAAGAATCTGTTCCCTTTCTTAACAGAAGCCTGTTAACATCTTTCTGTTGTTTGTGACCATTTGATAAAGAGAAATGTATTTATTCTTGAGTAAATTCAACTATAATCATGAAATGCGGGGTAATTGTTTTGTTATTTTGAAGTGATGGTGAATTTTAAATGGTGTAAGTCCAAAACCCCTTTCTATATCAGAATCAGTCAATCACTTTATTGCAAGGAAAACCATGCATATAAATCCACCAGTGAAGTACTGTAGACCTGCAACCAACCAGTGCAGTGTTATTATCAAGAAAGATGGTTTTGTTTACAACTGCAGTGATAAAATGTTAAGATATTCCCTAAATTGAACCTGTTCTAATTCTTTTTAATTAAGGGATTCAGTGACCAGGTTGATATAAAAGGACTGTGACTCACAGCTGATGGCGATATATATATTTTGTAAGTCTTGTGACTTTATTTTGGGTTTTATTTCCCACCTTTTCTAAAAAGGGAAACAAAAATCCTGCAATGTAATGTATGCTCTTCATACAATTTTGGAACCATTAGCTCCACTTTTGATTGATATTGCCAACACTTAAACATTTGCTAATTATTAGCCAATATCAATGATTGGTAATCTAATGCAATCTTCTTTTTAGTGCTCCCATTGGACGTCGCTAAAACGGATAATCTGCCTATACTTCACCCTATTCTTTGCATCATTTTCTGTCACACCACAGGACAATAACAAACCAATACTCTGTATATGCATCCATACTTTGATTTTCTGAACAACAGGAAAAGCTGTTTTTCTAAACTGAAAACTGAAAATAATAACAAACATTCAAAAGTAAATGATATTTGAAAATATCACTTACTTTAGTCTAACATTTCCTTTTAAAACCCAAACTTTTAAAATAGCAAACCGGTAACACTCAAACACCTCGGAAATCGTTCTAGTGTAATGTTTAGTTTATGAATGTTTGTTAAAATAATCACCCCTCTTAATGAATAAAGTAGTACCCAACAATAACAATGCCAGGTCCTGCAAAAATCCGGTCCTGCAGCTACAGCATCTTTTCGATTATCAACAGTGAACCTGAGTCTATCCACCCTTCACCATACCCTTCATCCTCCTCGTTTTTACTGGCGTCGATCCTTGATCCTTCGGCCTCGCCCCCCATAAGGCCACAGTCCCCCGCTGCTGACATCGGGTCGTCACTGTTCGCCTCTCCATCCTCCTCCATTCTCATCATGTTCGGGTCGTCGCTTAATTCATAATCATCCGACATGTTTCGGGTTTTTCTGGAACAAGACTTAAACTAAAGCTTCACCCCTAAAGGGCTCTGAACTCAAAGCTACGTCAGATATCTCTGCTGGAGCTAAGCTAACTGTCTGGCTTCTGTCAGCTAACTGATGACAGGCTAGTCGCTGGCTAATATTTTGATATCATATGCTGTTAAATAAAATGTCCGTCGCTAGTTAGAACAAGCTAACTGGTTGGGTTACGTGAATCCAATGTGGGGTTAGTATGAATTTGGAGAAAACAACGCTCGGTATGAAAAAAAATTAGGTTGAAGTTACGATAATATTGAGAGGGGACTTATGAGCGTCGCTTTGTTTTCGTCGCCGTCATCTTCTTCTTCGTCGGTTAAAAACGGCTGTCAAACCGACGTGAAAGCTAGACCGCGCCCCCTTCTTTATGTAACAAATAGTACATTTTGGGCTTAATTCCCTCTTTTTTGTAGAGCCGTTTGCAAAAATACAGATGAAAAAAAGGAAATAATTGAGGCAAAAAGTAAGGAACAGAGCAAACCAAAAAGCAGAATTATGTAAAAGACATTTTTCAGTTAGTAATTTATACTCTGAACAAATTTTTGGTCAATAATACACCAAAGACAAAAAGTAGATTCATCATGATTGATGAATCAAATAACCAACCCACCCATCAGCATGTTAAAGAATATCATAAGATGCAGAATCTAACAGTCCTAAAATTGATTAATTAATTAATGTCATGACTACAATACTGTGCAAAAGTCTCACCCCTCATTTATTTATATTTTTCTTCCAAGGAGCCAGACTTTTGTCAGTTTTTAAGTAATCTTGAGCAAAACTTCAAGGTTTTCTGAAGACGCATGTTTCTGCTGCTTGTTAAAATCACTTACCTATTGGGACAAACCAGTGTTATGTTGACACAAGCTACTTATCAAAGCACCAATTTTAAATTGCACCTTTAAGGGTTTTTTGTTTTCCTTTCTTTTTTGTGGTTTAGCCATTTGTAATCCTTACCGTTCAATTTGGAAGCACTTTTTAAAAACAGTTTGGACTGAAGAAGAAGAAGAAGTCAGGCTTCTGGGGGAGACAAGGCATTTATTAGAAGTCCATTTCCTGAATAATACCAACAATGTTTCACACAAAGTCTGGCAATGTTTCAGTATTTTCACTTCCCAAGATCAACATTACAAATGAACAACAAGTATGGCACATTTAAATAGACACCATCACCTGTGAGGGGGATTAATTAAGACATTCAAACAAAGTTTCAAATGGAGACTCTCATTCTGCTGAGTGCATCTATACTGTAATTATACTTTCTAAAACGAGACAGTTCACTCACTGCACAGGACTTCATACGTCTGCGACACATTTGTTTGGGTAGAGAGGAAGGAAAATGGTACATGAACATTTACAAAATGGTTAAGAAATACAGTTCACGCATATACATTTGGAGAGTGGCAGTCAAATACAGTTAATCTAAAAGGTAAAAAGCTAGTCTCACATGTCATGTGCAGTTTCCTCCAGGCTTGTAAATGTAAAGCAACAGCTTCCCATTCAATCAAATGGTCCAATGACATTGAAGTCCCATTTGTGTTCCTATAATGCTTGGTGCATCCGTTTGTATTGATGAGAAAAGCATCCTGAAAGAACTGGATAGTGAGCCACCTTTAAAGACTGGAATTTCATAATCAGCCCCATTGATTGCCAGCAGTCCCAGCAGCATCGCCAGTCCCTCGTTACCCATCAATGTGGAAGAAAAAAACCCCCCAAAACAATAAAACACTAGAATTGCAAAAAAGGTGGGGGCAAAATAAGAGGAGAGGTCATCACGAAGTCATCCGTCTACGCACGTTGTTAAGCATGTCCTGTAAGCTGAAGTTGGCTAAAGGAGGTAATGAGGTTATAATGGCCCCTCTCCTCATCTGTCAGCTCCATGTTTCCAGGCCTGACCACCACCACAACATTAATGCCGGCTTCTTCTGCAGCTTTGGCCTCTGCAATGACAAATGCAGTCACGTTAAAAAAGAAAGTACACAGTTTTTTGCCCTTAACAGAATATTATTATCAAGACGTGACAATAAACAGAAGTGGCCAATAGGAGTCTCTTTGAAGACGGGTGTCAGACGGATTCAAAACCTCAACACAAAACGACTACTTTGAACATTTCAGTGTTTCACAAAGCCTCACTTTGCCGATCACTGCCTTCGTCCCACCGATCTATTCATCCTGGTAGTCTTTATGTTATCTTACTAGCAGACAAACACCAGACCAAACGGAGAATATTATCATTGCTAACATACTTACCCCGGGTGACGTCTGTCAGGAATGTGATTTCCTCAGGCTGACAGCCAATCCTCTCTGCAATTCTCTCATAGCTCTTTGCGTCCACTTTAGCCCCTATACTGGTGTCAAAGTGACCGTCAAATAACTGGGGGGAAAAAAAAAAAAATCAAACCATCAGATTAGACAATATCAATAACAAAAACAACAAGAGCTTACAATTTGTTTTAGCCATTAACAGCTCCTCCAATACAAAAATGTTACCTTCTTATAAAAAAATAATAAACAAAATTAAATAAAATAAAAATAGAAACTATGTGTAAGCAAAGGTTGTGTTTGCACTAAAGTAGGAAAGTGGAACAAACTTCTAGAAGATCTCCTTCAACAGAGTATCCAAATAGAAGTTTCTGTGCCTCCACGCTTCCAGAAGAGTAGATGTAGACTTTCAGGCCACGTGCTCTCCATGTTCTGATAGATGGAACTACATCCTGATAGACCCTGATTTTAAAAAGGGATGGGGGAAAAAAAAGCAGCTTATTATTATGTTTTTGTGGGGTGGCGGTGGCGGGTTATCTCTACTTCTGACAAACAAACCAAATTATGACCCAAACCCGAGTAAAAGCGTATATGAATTTCAAAAGTGAGGAAAATGATCAGTGTACTTACTCGCCTTTGATTCTCCCAGATGCATAAGCTGACCTCCACATGTGACCCTGAAACTGTTTGAGCGCTGTGGACTTCCTGTCTGCTGCCATCTGCCACAGAACATTTTCTACTACTTCCCTAATGGCCTTCTCCTCATCTGTGTGAACTGTCTGGTCCACAGTGTGCACAGGACACGCCCGGTTCTGTTTCATGTCCTCTTCAATCTGCCGTGACAGTCAGCCTTTTTGTTAAAAGAGCACTAAGGCATGTTCCCTGGTTTACTTGGTGGATTAAAACAGGTATGTCAATATTCATAAATAAAAAAAAAAGGCAAGCAATTCAGAAAATAAAGGATAGAAGCTGAATATGTAAGAATTCTTCAGTACCCAAATAAAGGTTTTCCCTCCTTTGTTCATTAGCTGCTGATAAATAACAAACTGCATTCCTGCCAGGCTGAGTAACAGCCTGGATTTCATTCTTCCAGTAGGGAATCACACTTAAAAACATGTTTGCTAGCTACCTGTTTCTTTAGTAGATGAACATCTTGTTTGCACTCGTCTTCTTCCCAGTGAGTGGACAGGTAATCCTCAAGATGCTCTTTGATGTACGGAAAAAGGATATCCTAGAAATGAAAATATGGACACGTGACAGCAAAAATAAATAAATAAAACATAAAACCCACACTAGAGCCTGAGTGATTTGTCAGCAGATCGATATCACCTATCTGCCAATCCGTATTTATAGCAGCGAATAAATTTTAATTTTAATAACAGAAACTACAGAAGAGATGAGAGAAACATCCTTCAACCAGAGTTGATGTCCATAGTTTGTCCACCAGGGGGCCTTACAAGGACTTACAAACAAACAACAACCAGCTGATCCGAGCAGTCAGGTAGCATACATGAGTAAATAAATAACAACATACAACAAACGTTAGAGAAATGTGATTGTTTCCGGTGTTGGAAAGCCGATGAACTTGAAAATGGGATTGTTAAATCACCATGTTGTTCTTAGAGATCTTATGCTTAGGCTCTAATTCAGTCTCTCTAGTTGGAAAATACCAACAGAACAATGTTTATTGATTCCTGTTTTAAAAGCCTTTTCCTTCATTTATGGTACAGCTGTTGTGTCTGTTTGCACAGACATTTGCCTACCCAGAGAGGAGTTTTTTTTAACCTACGCAAATGTGGTTCAATGTAGCTCTTGAAAAACCGAACAGTGTGTAGCTCAATGTTGATGAGCATTGTGAATGGTGACTTCACATGTCCATGTCTATTTCTAACGCACTTCCGTATTCTAAGACACAAAGCAAAGAGGCTTCCATGAAAGTAAAAACATTACATGAAACTGCTAATTACAACACTTCTTGTGTGACATGAACGCAGCGTTAGGTGTGTTCGTTGTCAAACGGTATTTCTGGTTATATAAAGCAAATATAGACATTTGTAGAAGCAAATCAATAAAATTGCATTATATTCAGGAGATAGAGAGACCCTGTGAAGTTTTGTTGGTTTAGATGTGTGCTACCGGTGACAGGCAGCTGTTAGCATAGCCGCACAACCGTGCAGACTTCGTTTGCATTGCATTTCACGCTGCTTACCTTCACAAATGTAATCGGTGTGGTGGTGCCTTCAATGTCGAGCAGCAGGGCACTACTGCAGGCAGGAATAGAAACAGTGGCCATTTTTACTGGGTGAGTCTGCAACGGCTCTTGTTAGCTGACGTTAGCTTACTAATTAGCAGCACCGCGGTGGAAGAACCAGGCTGGACCCGGTCCTCGCTGTTTTTACAAGACTAACAGATCAAGCAGACTACAGATTATGCACGCGCTAACAAATTTATCTGGTGGTAAGCCACTAACTAGCAGTCACTTCACAGCTAACAAACAGGGCAGTAATATGCACACATGGCCAGCTCCGTCAGTTCAGACTCCACGCCAGTAGGCGGCGGTACCTTAATAATGAACAACAAGTAAAACAACAATAAGAATTTGTTTATTTGTTTAAAACGTTATTTAAAATCGATATTCCAACACTCAGTTTACTTGTCTGTGCCATTTTATTAAATGAAAGCATGTTTTGCATTTGGTATTATTTATTGGTTAACATTTATGCCAGTATAAAGAAATGTGCGAAGACAACAGGGGGCTATTTTATATGAAAGTCTTTTATTTGTCCTACAACAGCAATACTGAAACTATGCCAGAGCAACACTGTAATGCAGAGGTAGTAGTATAAGGCACACCTGTTAACTGATCATTAACACAAATATCTAATTAGCCAAGTAAGTAAACTAAAATTTTATTTGTATAGCCCCTTTCAAGATAAAAAATTACAGGGCTATAAAAGGGCTATCTTAAATAAACCAAACATGAGTGAACAAAGGTGAATAAGTCTGCACAGAGCTGATGAGCTGATTTTAAGTCTCTATGAAACTTTTCAACTCATATACACTTTCACCAGTC